CAACATGGTGGTAGTTAATAATGGTAGGCAGTGGCGACGGTTAATAATGAATATGGATTATAGCATATTAATGAAATTTAATCTCTGTTGTAGATCTTAATCATATAGACTTATTCAGACCCATTAAGTGGTTGTGAAGTAAAAAACAAACACACTTAATGATTAAGATCTGAATAATTAAGATTCGGACTTTAAAAATAAACACACTTAATGTCTGATATCTGAATGATTAAGATACAGACTTCTATTAAGTGCAAACAAATGAGGCCTAAGAGTACTCTCTTCAATTGCTCTATAGAGAGTTTGAATGTCATTACGAAGGAACCAAGAATGAGTGAAAAATCTACAAGATCTGAAGTAATGAAGTTGCATGTCTTCAACAGTTTTGCAGATTACATTAGCACACTGAAACTTGAGAACGAGGTTCAAGTGTACATCTTTACCTTTTTATTTGTTTTTTAAAAAATTTAAATAAAAATTTTGTTGTTAAGTTTTACTAGTTTCGTTAGTTTAGTTAATTTGAGGGACTAAAATTGCTTGATTGGGTTATAATTTAAAGTTAAAGAGTATTCAGCTGAGTAATTCAAGGACTAAAAACAGAACTAAGCAATAAGGACCAAAATTGTTATTTTCCCATGTATTGAATTTCGCTTCCTTCTCAGTTGTCCCATCCAAACAAAGTCTTATCAGAAACCCGATCCTAATTTCAGTCGGGTCTATAAAACACCGAGTGACCCTTATTCGGACTTCGGAGCATCCAAATAGCACGGACCTTAGGGCTTATACGCCATAATACGAATTATTCGAAACGAGTCCTGCAACGCCAATTGATCTTGATCTTCTGTTCTGTACTTCCAACCACTCTCCAAAGCTTCTCATCAGCTGTATACGGAAAATGGCCGGCGGAGGAGACCATTCTCATGGCGGAGACTTCAGGGCTAAGGTCTGGAGTATGAGTGGTGGGCCCTACTGTAGGCCCAAGCATTGGCAGCGCAATACCGCTATTGCCCTTGCCGGAATCGTACTCATCTGCATTCCTGTGGCTTTGAAATCCGCCGAGCTTGAGGTCAGTTTAGCCAACTCTATACCCCCCCCCCCCAAAACAAATCTGAAATGTATTGATAGGTGTTTGGAAATTGCCGAGAAGATTGATTTGTGTTACTTTTCATAAATTTGATAAGCATCTCATCTTGAGTTTTAGCTTTAGTCTTTTTAGGGCAGAAGGCAAGTATTATATTTTGTGCTTTGGCACGACGAGGAATATGATTTAGTTATTTTGAAATGTGGAATAATATTGGCTGGTGCTGGCAGGAATTAGAAATGCATGGTCAAAACCCGATCAAAAGTTGAATGCTCAATCTCAGAGCCTTGATGTTAAACTAACAGGGTTCTTGGATTGATTGGTCAAACTATGGATAATCATGTCTCGTGAATTACCTTTATTTTACCTTTTAGGTCATTCTAATACCAGCCTTTTAGCACCTAAGTAGTGTTGTCAAAGGCTGTGCTCAGAAAAGCTCAAAGATGGTGCTTCGCCTCGCGTAAGTTGCGCTTCAGTGTAGGAAAGGCACTAAGACGTGTACCTCATTACCCCCGAGTTTTATCTTGAATCAAGTGGTACTAAATTATAATTATAAATATAATAGGCGAAGAATATGTTAATCGTTAGGAACACACCTTGAATGAATTTGTTACTATTTTCTTGCATTACATATATATTTTTACTTTTTTTATTCATTGTGTCTTTTTTAACTAAAGCCCATACTTTAATTGTGACTTGCGCAATAAGCCCCAATAGACCTAGAGCGCTTTTTAGAGCTTTTCGTCTTTGACAATACTGTACCTAAGGGTGTGGCCCAGTGGTCAATAAAGCTGGTGAGAACCATGAGGTCTTAGGTTCAAATCCCGCGGAGGCAAAAAACACTATGTGATTTCTTCCCATCTATCCAAGCATTGGCGGATTGAGTTACGTGGTACATTTTGTGCTGGGGAGGTGACAGATATCACGTGGAATTGGTTGAGGTGCGTGCATATTGGTTCAGACACCACAGTTATTAAAAGAAAATAAAAATATCAGCCTTTTGAAACTAGGTGCAACTCCAGTGCCAAAAATTGGGTATCTATCTCAACTCTTAAACCCCCTTTTCTATATCCATAGTCTTATCTGCCAAGGAATAAAAAATGTCTTTATAAGTCTCTGAGAAGTGTGTATGACTATCTCTACTTTCATAGATCTATTTACATGTAATTAAGATTTATATAACAAGTAAAGTTTGGTTCTAGATCATTCTGATTATGATTTCTAAGGAAACAGTAGAAATCACAAAATTTGGTATCAATAGAAACTGATAGTGCTAAGATTACATTCCGTGGTTCTAATCCAATAATTCTCTTACCTGGAGTCTTCTTCCATGGAAAATATCATTTTGGCTAAGATAAGTACTTTACTTATCTTTCACTTCAGGCTGCGTTTGCTTGGATGTCGGAAATACTCAGTAATTTTATTTTGTTAAATGAGCAGAAAAAGTCTAGCAAGAAAGTCAAATTAAGCAGACTTGACATGGTCATGGTGAAACATTTTTAATCGGTGTTCCCATTTTTTGCTCCTTCCATAGGATATCTAATTTGTCTACTTAGGTCTTGGATCTTCGAACAATTAGAAAATAGGTAGAATTCAAGCTGAATACACGTATAGTTTGTGAACTCAATAGTACAAGTGTGTCAATCCTGGCTAAGCCATTCGCATTCTCCAACTTTTGGTGTGACAAAGACTTAAGTTTCAGAGAAAAGCCAAGCCATTCAGAGTTGGTCTCCTATGATAAAGGCAACAAGAAGGTGCAGCTTCCATTCTATTGATGTGGAATCACATCAAACACAATTAGTGAATTTTCTGCCGTGCGTACAATTTTTATTTCCTTTCCAAAGTTTTTTACAAAGGGTGTGGTTGGTATGAAAAGAAATTTTTTCCCATGTTTGGTTGGTCTAAATGTTTTGGAAAATATTTTCCTCATGAACTCATTTTCCTATCAAGAGAACGNCACCCTAAATAAAAATATTATTAATAGTACTTTCTTTTCATTTTATAGATAGATTTTCTTTTATTTCAACAAATGAGTATTTTTTTTTTCATGATATAAAAAAGTATTTTTTTCAATTTAACACAAAAAAAATACTTTTTTTTCATGTAGAAAAAGTGTTTTTTTTTTCATTTCAATAAAAAAATATTTTCTTTTCATGATGTAAAAAAAGTTATTTTTTTGCATTTCAACAAAATGAGTATTTTCTTTTCATGATATAGAAAAAGTATTTTCTTTTATTTCAATAAAATGAGTACTTTATTTTCATGTTGTAAAAAGAGTGCTTTTTTTTTTCCAAAAAAAAAAAAAAGGAGTATTTTCTTTTTGGTTATGGAGCACAAATTTCAACGTTATTTTTGCGTAAAAAAGTAAAGCAACACATTAGTTCCTTTGGATTCGTGTGAATTTTTAGAGACTTGGGGGGAAGGGGGGAGGGTGAGGAGAGTAGCATAAAAACATATTTTCCTAAAAAAATATTTTCTACTCTCTAACCAAATACTAAAAAATATTTTCCAGAAAATGTTTTCCACTCACCAACCAAACACGGGAAAATAAGTGATAAAACCACCCATTTTCCATGAAAACATTTTCCTTCGTACCAAACACACCCGAAGTGTCCGTTTATTTTCTGTTGTCTTACATATGAGCTGTCTCTCTTAAAGAATTATTGATGTCTAAGTTGCTATCTGTCATAAATATATAACTTGTGAAAAAGAAAATTTTACCTATAAAAAATACTGTAGTAGTTCATTTGGATACTTTAGTTATGCTCTGAACACATAGATTTTAGAAATTGTCTCTCTCGAACTTTTAGCTCCCACCCGCAAATCGGGTAACTCTGGGAAACTGTTGATCCTTCTAGGCGAAAAAGAGAGGAAGGGGAGGTTGCTTGTTGATGAGACTTTTTGTCCCCTTTCTTACTGTTCTCCCTGTCTTGCCTTTTCCTTTCCTTCTCATGTTATCTATCATCTTGGCTTTGTTCCTCGTCAAAAAGGTCGGACCTCTAATTTGGTATTCTTGTTTAGGTAAAGTGAATATATAATCATTGCTCAAACAGGTCTGCTTTAAGCAATTTCGAAAGAGTACAATGAAAAATAAAAATAAAAACTACTTGAAACATTTGGTATGGGGAAAGAAGATTTTCCTAACCAATGTATAAGCTTTTTATCAAGTTTGAAGCCTCAGTTGGTGGCCTTTTCCATTTCAAAGACTAATTGATATTTTCTAGAATAGTGTTTGGTGCTCCTTTTTCCTTTTGTCTACCTTTGTATTTATTTTGTTATCAGTCTGCTCTTGTTTCCTTTTATTTTCTTACTCTCCACTCGCTCAGAGATCAGCGTGCAAGTTTGTGTTTTTGTGACACCAATTGATTTTGATTAATCCTTGGCAATCTGCCCCCCATCCCCCATCTCTTTTGTGTGTGTGCGTGTGTATCTCTCTCTCTCTTAACTTTTTTTCCGCTGGAATATTTGATATTCACGCAATAACAAGCTTTTTGTTTTGCAGCAAAGGCCACATCTTCCAGTACGCCCCATACCTTCTCAGCTCTGGTGCAAGAATTTTGGAACAAAAGACTACTAGTCTTGTTTGATAAAGCAACTATAGTAGTTTGCTGTTCGGTAGATGATCACATCACCTCCTGTATTTGGATTCTGAATTGTGCATTTCATGGTTATTTTTCATTCAAACCAGTGTGACATTATAATGAGTTAATGACAGTGTTCCATAAAATAAAAATGACACTTCCTGCGTGCTTTATTACAATGATGAAAGCCAGCTATGCTGATTCTCCTTGTTTTGTTTTTTTTTTAAATTTTATCTTCTGTATATCAAGAAAAGCTAAAGCAGTTGCCCCTGACTCCTGGGTCTTATACAGTAGCCCCCCCCCCCCCCTGTGTCTTGTGGAACTATTGGCACATTAATTGACTAATTTGACAACTATCAATTGAAGATGATTTTGTGTGTTCCTTCCACCTTGTGCTCATAGCTACAGCGGATGCGTCCAGCATACCGTTGCTCATGGTTGAAGTGGAGCTCGTGTGCACCCACCCCATGCCGCTTCGCTTTCTACATAGCAGACCCAACACAGGCGAATTAATTGAATTCTTACAATTTGTCTTAGCTTTGGAAGATACAGATACTCCATATACATGCTGGTGAGAGGTAACAATTACTCAATGATTAATTGAGGCATGCACAAGCTAATTTGGACATCACATTGTGGTTAGCTAAAAATTGCCTTATCTGACGTTAGTGGACTTCAAACCCGTACGTAGTTTCACATATGCAGAGTCAACCAACCCATTTAGTTCAATGGTTACGGGCTAAACCATAAACTTGAAGACAATAAATCAAATGTGAATCCCCCAGATAATGGGTTCTCTCAAAAAGAAAATGTAAAAAGGTTGAACTAAGACGACTATAGAGGGTTTGCTGAAGTTCCTTCACTTGGATGAGTAGTGCAACTTCTCTATGCAATGTATCTTTCTAGTTGAGCTCGAATTGTCAAGCGCAAGTTCAACTTTGTCATCCCCAACTCTTTTGCCTACTGCGGAGGTGCTTAGTTTCCTTTCTTTTTAAGTCCAGGCATGATGTTATCTAGCAAAACAACTCATCTTCATGTGAAAATGTACGATTTTTTTAGAAGTCTACCATTATTAGAAAGAAAATGTGGAAGCAAGCTTTAGATGAAAGAAATTCTTCAAAAATCATAAAAAGGGGCATTGTCGACATTTAATGCGAGGACTAGTTTGTGGTCAAAAACAAGTTGGGGGGTAGCAAGAGAGAAAACATACAGTTGCGGGAATAGAACTATAATTAATCTCCTTTCCTACTTACACGGGGCAGCTGTTAAAACAGCCCCTATAAATTGTGGAAGTAGTCGAAATAGTACAAATCAAAATTCAAAAACAACGGTTATCATAAACCCCAGATACCAAGAACTGTATAGGGAAGGGAGCAGAAGGATGGGCGTAAAGAACCTTTGGGACATCTTAGAATCTTGCAAGAAAACTCTTCCTCTTCATCATCTCCAGTAAGTCTTCTGTTCCCACTTCACCCCTACCTTTTTATTTTTCTAAAACACCACAATCTTTTACTTGTTGTGGTTCTTCTACTTAATTCGGGATTTGGTGCGCGTAAAAGGAACAAGAGGGTATGTATAGATCTTTCTTGCTGGATAGTTCAACTTCAAAATGTCAACAAATCCCACTGTGCCATCAAAGACAAGCTTTATCTCAGGGGTCTCTTCCACCGCCTTAGAGCTCTCACTGCTTTGAATTGTAGCCTCATTTTTGTCACCGGTAATTTTTTTTTTCTTTCTTTGTGCAAATCTATACTTTACTTTTTTTCTTTCAATTAACAAGTATTTTACTTGCTATTGTTGTATTCATAATTAGTTTACTGTGTATGATGGTGAAGATTCTTAATTGTAGTACTCAAGACATTATTGATATTTGGGTTTGGTTCCACATAGATGCTGCTCTGCTGCTATCAAGTTGCGGGCGGCTCACCACCCACAAAAGTATTGTTGCTTCACAATTTTTAGCAGTCCCTGGGAAACATCTATTTAGGGTGTGTTTGATATGAAAGAAAATCTTTTTCCTGAAAATAAGGATTTTTTAAACTTATTTTCCGGAGTTTGGTAACAGGGCGGCCCAAGGGTCAAGCCATTAAAGCAAGGGCTTTAGGCCCCCAATTTTTGGGGCCCCAAATTTTTCTTTTTGTTTCCTACTTATAAATGTATTAAGATCCCGACTAATTAAGATTCGTACCGCGTAAGGCCTAGTAGAAAAGTGAACACATTTTAATAGAATTTTACCAGGGCTCAAACTCAATATATCTAATTAAGGTAAATTGGATCATATACATCTCACAACAATCTTTAGAGATAACGTCTAAATATATTAGGTATTTTAAAATAAAAAAGTAAAATATTTTATAAAAAGTAAAGGTAACTTTTAGTTTAGTACTGGTGTAGACGTTTGAGAAAAAATTGGAGAAAGAGAATCACTCTCCTTGAACCCTTGTCACGAATATAAAACTTTTTATTATTTAAATTTTACGATTGACATCATTAGTGAGGTACCAATATTATTATTCTCCTTTTATATTTCTCACTAACAACGTGTAATAAATTTTTAAAATTCGTTTTTTGGTATCTTCAGTGGTCCAAGTCTTATTTTTTATCTTTCTCATCAATTGGTTTCTGCAAAAAAACTTAAGTTTTTGATAGTTATATTGTTCTCCGTTGAAAGAATTTTTTTTATTTTTTCTGAAAAAACAAAAGTTGAAGAGTATTGTTTAATAAAACTATATTGCGCATTCTTTTTTTCTTTCTTTTTTTCTCAGATTTCAAGCATTTCAACAAATATATAAGAACATCAAAAATTATTTCAATATCAAGTTATCAACTTCTGTAATCTGGTTCTATTATCTAAGATCAACAATATCTTAGGAGATATTGAATTATTTATAAAATAAATTATTAACAACTTTTGAATTGATTTTTGCTGAAAGGCCCCAGATTAAAAATTGGCTTTAGGCCACCAATCTTCTCGGGCCACCTCTGTTTGGTAAGTAAGTAGAAAATATTGTCCTTATAGCATTTATATATAATCTAGATAATTACGATGGGGTCCCGGGGTGGGGGTGGGGGTGGGGAGAGGGGGAGCTGGAATGGTACTTGTGGAACTTGTTTTCCCTACTCCTACCAGGAACTTGTTTTCCTAGAGAAAATATTTTCCAAAACATTTTGACCAACCAAACATGGAAAAATTGAAAAATATTTTCTGGAAAATGTTTTCCTCCCTACCAAATGCACTTAGACAAAGAAATTTAGAGTCTTTATGGTCTCTGAAAACTTCTTGAAAACTAAGCATGCTTATGGTGTTAGAATGTTTTAGCTAACCGCAACTTGGTTGGGACTGAGGCGTTTTGGTGTTGGTTGTATGTGTTGGAATGTCCATATTGGCTGTTAGAGTATAGGGATTGACAGCACTTAATACATGATGCACATCTCAGTGGCACTTTTTCCCTTTTTCAGATGGAGCCATTCCTGCTATCAAATCATCTACTTATAGAAAGCGACTAAATCCTGGAAATGTGGTAGGACTACTTAATTATCTGTTTTCGCTTATTTGCTTCTGCCCTCTGCTCACACTCCTTCTTTAATTATTTGCTTACCTACATTCTATTTTACTTTGCTCATTATACTCTAGCTTTACATAATGTAGCTCACTCAAGATGAGGCGATTAAACCGTCATCAATACGAAGAAATGCAGGATCTGAATTTTCACGCATGATAAAGGAGGCTAAAGTTCTTGGAAATGCACTTGGAATTCCGTGCTTAGATGGGTAACCCTTTACTTGTGCATTTGTTTTATTGATCTGTCAGAAAGCAAATTCATGTAAATGATAAAAGGAAATCAACTATCTTTTGAGACGATGGTTTTCATCTTCTATTCTATGGGGATATTATCAGACGTTAGTTTTACATCTTAACTTGCTCCAGGTGTCTATACTTGAAAGAATACATGTTTTCAGAAACCAGGTCATTCCTTGTGATAACAGTGCCTTGAATTGTGAATTGACAGTGCTTTAGTGAGTTGTGTGATATGATACTTATAACTGTTGGAGTGTAGAAAATAACTCTTTGCAACTATTGACTGCTGGAATCTGCCAAAAATTTCAGGATTGAGGAGGCTGAAGCTCAATGCGCACTATTAAACTATGAATCATTCTGTGTAAGTGGAAGTCATTGATCCATTATGCTAGTAATGCTTCATTTCAAAGGACTAAGCTAGTTTTTCCTGATATAATCGTGGTTCTAAAACTCTGTTGTTTAAAAAATTTATTACCACAACAATTATTGTTTGTTTACACTGGAGCAACCTCATTTTGTATCACACAGTACTGATTGTAATTATCAGGATGGATGTTTCACATCAGATTCTGATGCCTTCTTATTTGGGGCAAGGACAGTGTATAGAGATATTTGCCTTGGTGAGAATTGAGATATTATTGGTTTGTTCTTTTCTTTTGACTCTTGGTAGTGGCTTTTAATTATTTTGATGTACTCATACTTCTAGTTTGCGAGATTCAGGGGAAGGTGGGTATCTTGTTTGCTATGAAATGGATGATATTGAGAGAAAGCTTGGACTTGGAAGGAACTCCTTGGTAATTATTTTACTTTTTTCTTCCAGCACTATTTATTACAATGTAAAGAATATTGTTCTCAGTCGTGATACTTGGCATCCAAATAGAATAAATTGTAAACCATATCAGTCTAAGGGAACACACTTCCAATCAATCTTGTGGGAAAAGAAGACTTATTTCATTTCTTAGTTTTATTCTAGACTGCAATACAATGATATGATCACCTGTTAGGAAATTTGTTGCAGCTTGCAAGTATTATATCCTGATAAATGATGTGAATGGAGAAACTGTGAATATTTCTGATTCTATGACGTCTGATGGCTTCAGAATATTTTGACCTTGCTTGTGTGTGGAATAGATCAACAGTTGCAACTCATTGTCTAAATTTCTGATGTATTTGTTGGGCTTTCTTTTGGGAATTCTTATTTCCAGATAACGCTGGCTGTTATTCTTGGTGGTGATTACTCTGAAGGAGTTTATGGGCTTGGTCGGGTAAGTCTTGGAAATTTTGTTTCTTGTATCCGGCAGGCATTATTTCTCCTCTCAATTTAACATGTCTATGATCTGAAATGGGTTGAACTTTTATGCTTATGGTATGACATGCTTTTGTGTTGATAGGAATCAGCTTGTCAGATTGTTAAATCAATTGGTGATAGTGCTGTTCTTCAATGGATTGCATCAGAAGGATTTTCCTTTGTAAAGAAGCAAAAAGGTTCTAAGAAACAGACTGAAAATGACAAATGCAATGGTAGAGAAAATGCTGCAGAGTATAAAAATCCTAACGGTGAGTCCCTCGGAACGAGGGGAAACTAAGAAGAAGAAATTTTATCCGAGTGTTGACTAGTACTTGGTAATCACTGTTACGTTTATGTTTAAATCCCTGCTGTTTTTCCTTTTTGCATTAGGAAGCAAATGCCCTTCACTAATGAAAATTCAGACGTTGCAAGTATTAAATGCATATCTGAAACCAAAGTGCCATTCAGCAGAATCTGATGCTGTACAACGGTAGATTCTTATTTGAGACAGCATTTATACAAAGTTACACTCTTTTTTTTCTTCTTTTCCTCCTTTTTTTTTGTTTTTCTGTTTTGCCTTTTTGGTTGAAGTTTTACCACATTACATTGTGCTGATAATAAATCTGTTGACATGTCAGTTAAGAACCAAGAAGTCTGAAAAGAAAGATATTTGTTGCAGGATTCTTGCATTGTATCCATATAGCCGCAGCCAGCTTCAGCAAATATGCACTGAATTTCTTGATTGGCCTCCTGAGAAGACAGGTGTTTCTCTAAGCCAAACCTTGGTGCTTCATACAAGCTGATGTGAATTCTATTTCATGCACTTATTTATCTTACCTGTTTCCTTTGATTCGGCATCTACCGTGGATAACTCCAACTACGATTGTCTTTTTTTTTTTTTTTT